ATCGCCCCCCACTTGTCAGGTGTCAGAAGGGCCAAGATGATGCTGACGATCTCAGTGACTGGCTGACATCCAAGGGTAGCGGTCCGCAGGCCAGGAGGGGTCAGGAGTCCCTCGTGGCCAGAGAGCTGGGTGGCACGGGGCGGGGAACACTGATGCCCCGCGAAGGCGCAGAGGGTTCCTCCACCCAGAACTGTCACTTCGGGCGCTGCCAAGGCGCCTGGGAATCAGGTCGGTCGGCAGCACGCCTGCCACAGGGCCCCGAAATGAAGAGGGAGAAATTAGAGCAATTATCCGTCCTAACGAGCCCCGCACCTCTTGTGTTGTCATTCATGAGGTACAAAATATGCAGCCCGGATTTTCTGCCTGTGGCGTTTTCTTAAACAGGATTTCACAGGCAAATAAAAATAGATCCCAACGAAAAGGATTGTTTGGGGGAAGCTTTTGGATGTGGGAGGCAGGGCAGAGGAGGCTTTAAAACAGGGTGGACAGAGACAGGGTGGGTGGGCATGGTTTCCACGACTCTGAGCTCCCCCCGTGCCATTTCCAAGCAGCAGCAAAAGCAGTTTTTATCTGCGGACAGTCTCTGCATCTCGCAGGGGGCCGGCCGGGGCCCGCCACGCGTGTTCTCGGCCACGCGGGGTCAGCACACTGCTTCCGCCTGACTGCCTGAGCCGTCTCTTTGTCCAGCCGCCAGTGGGTCAACGGGGATGGCTGTCACCTCCCTTGTCATTTCATCAAGCTCTGAGATTGTCAGCCGCGACTTAGGAGATGGTGGGGTTTTTGCTGTTGTTGAAACTTTTTATTTTGGATTGGGTTCTAGGCAGTTAACAACCGTGTGATGGTTTCAGGCGGACAGCAAAGGGACTCAGTCATCCATAGACATGTGTCCATTCTCCCCCAAACGCCCCTCCCATCCCGGCTGCCACGTGACATTGAGCAGAGTTCCCTGTGCTGGCCAGCAGGTCCTTGCTGGTTCTCCGTGTTAAACACAGCAGCGTGTCCACGTCCATCCCAGACTCCCTGACTGTCCCTTCCCCCATCCTTCCCCCTGGGGACCATCAGGTTATCACAGAGCATTGAGCAGAGTTCCCTGGGCTGGCCAGCAGGTCCTTGCTGGTTCTCCATGTTAAACACAGCCGTGTGTCCACGTCCATCCCAGACTCCCTGACTGTCCCTTCCCCCATCCCTCCCCCACCTCTGCAACCATAAGTTCCTTCTCTAGGTCTGTGAGTCTCTTTCTGGTTTGTACGTAAGTTCATTGGTATCATTTCTTTTGAGACTCCCCATGTAAGGGATGTCATACAATATTTCTTCTCTGTCTGACCTCAGTCAGTAGAGCATGGCAGAACTGGATTAGGGGGAGACGGCTATGTGAACAACATGTTGAAGAGTTTATTAAAACTCAGAAGTTCTCAAATGCAGCAAGTTGAACAGAAACACTTAAGTCCCTCATCTGCTTCGGCCAATCTGCTGTTGCTGTTGCTCAGTTGTGTCTGACTCTCTGCGACCCCGTGGACCGCAGCACGCCAGGCCTCCCTGTCCATCACCATCTCCCGGAGTTCACTCAAACTCATGACCATCGAGTCGGTGATGCCATCCAGCCATCTCGTCCTCTGTCGCCCCCTTCTCCTCCTGCCTTCAGTCTTTCCCAGCACCAGGGTCTTTTGCAATGGGTCGGCTCTTCGCATCAGGTGGCCGGAGTATTGGAGCTGCAGCGTCAGCGTCAGTCCTTCCACTCTGCTCACCACAGGCTGCATGACCTTCAGGGTGACTTGCTGGTGGATTTAAAAATAGGAAGAGGCTCAGAACCCATCCCCGGCCTGCAAAGCACCTGCTGCTTATAGCGCGAGCTGCTTTTGACTTGATGATATCATCGGTCAGGGGGCAAATCACAGAATGGCTGAGCAGACGGAATAGAGCAAAACAACGGGAAGGATCCTTTCGTGCATAAAGAGCTGTGATTCTCAAAGTGCATTTTTGAGAATCGCTTTAAAGTGTCCCAAGGAGGCAACAATTCCTGTTTCTCGCCTGCCGCCTTGGTTACCCCTGCCCCGCGCCCCGCATTCCTCTCCGTCTCTTCCTACAACCTCAGATTCTGCTGAGTCACCGAGCTTGCCCCGAGGGGACACTGATGCCGGTCTCCCCTGTCTGCACCTGGGGCTTCGTGCTAACCGCCAGCTTCCCTCAAGACAGGGCCCCCCGCTAAGGTCACATCTGGCCTGAGGGCCAGTCTTCCCCTTCCCCAAGTTGAGAAAAACAAAAGAAAAATCCTTCCTGTCTTTCTTGCCTAAAATGTAGGCAATTAGCACACGTTTCCACTTGCAGGAATTTGGTATTTCTTTTGCAAGGAGGAGAGAATGCTTTTGAGATGAGGGGTGTCTGTCTGCTTCTGGGGTGGGTGAGTTTGCAGTTGGTGCCTAAAGACTCTTCCCTAGAGAGTCTTCTGGGGAATTCGCTGGTGGCGCAGTGGTTAGGGCGCAGTGGCCTCCCTGCTGAGGGCCCAAGTTCAAACCCTGGTCAGTGAACTAAGATCCCGCAGGCTGCAGGGCCAAAAATAAATGAAATAAAGTGAAATGAAATAAAACAGTCTTCTGGCATTTGGGACACATGAAAAGATAATACAGAATTGGTACTGAGAGTTGGACTGTGAAGAAAGCTGAGCACTGAAGAATTGATGCTTTTGAACTGTGGTGTTGGAGAAGAGTCTTGAGAGTCCCTTGGACTGCAAGGAGATCCAACCAGTCCATCCTAAAGGAAAGCAGTCCTGGGTGTTCATTGGAAGGATTGCTGCTGAGCAAGATGAAACTCCAATACTTTGGCCACTTCCTGCAAAGAGCTGACTCATTGGAAAAGACCCTGATGCCGGGAAAGATTGAAGGCAGGAGGAGAAGGGGACGACAAGAGGATGGGATGGTTGGATGGCATCACCGACTCAATGGACATGACTTTGAGCAAACTCTGGGAGATGGTTAAGGACAGGGAGGCCTGGCGTGCTGCAGTCCATGGGGTCACAAAGAGTCAGACACAACTGAGCAACTGAACTGAACTGAACTATTTAAAGGTCTTCAAAGTGTTCAGTATGTGAGGGGGAAAAAAGTTGAAAAAATGTGTGGCTAAAACCACCTCTCCCATATTCTTGTATGAACTTCTCTAAAACCTGCAGAAGAAGCAGGTCTGGGCATGTAGGAAGGACTGGATCCATCTTTCCCATGTCTGGTTAGAAATTCATAGATTTTTCCCTTCTTTTTTTTTTTTTTTTCCTATTAATGTGTGGCGTGCCTTGGTTAACTTTCAAATATTAACCCAACCTTGCATTTCTGGGATAAACCACTTTGGCCATGGTGTGTCATCCCTTTAATGTATACACTTTTGAATTCGATTTGCTGGTATTTTGTTAAGGATTTCTGTATCTGATTCTGTATATTGGTTTGTAATTCTGTTTTTTTGGTAACATCTTTGTCTGATTTTGTATTCAGAGTGATTCAAGCCTCATGGAACAAGTGAGGCATTGTCCCGTCTGCGTTATCATTGAAAGAGTCTGTGAAGGTCATTTTTCTTCCCTGTGGTAGACTTCACAAGGCAGTGTGGGTCTGGAGATTCCTTTATGGCCCCGCTATTAATTATAATGCCAGTGTCTTTATGGTATCTATCTATTCATATATGACTATTCATGTTTTCCACTTTTCCTTCTGTTAGCTTTGGTTATTTACATCTTTCAAGGGATGTACTTCACCTTAGTGATTGAGTTCATTAGTAAAAACGTTGATAATGTTCCCTTGTGGTCCTTTTTTTAAAAAAAATTTTTTTTATTGGTTTATAGTTAATTTACAATGTTGTGTTGGTTTCTGCTATACGGCAAAGTGAATCAGTTATATATATATAACAGCTCTTTTTAAGGCTATTTTTCCAGGTAGATCATTACAGAGTATTGACTAGAGTTCCCTGCGCTATACAGTAGGTCCTTATTCGATTCAATTCAGTCTCTCAGTCGTGTCCCACCCTCTGTGACCCCATGGACTGCAGCACGCCAGGCCTCCCTGTCCTTCACCATCTCCCAGAGTTTGCTCAAACTCATGTCCATCGAGTCGGTGATGCCATCCGACCATCTCCTCCTCTGTCGTCCCCTTCTCCTCCCGCCTTCAATCTTTCCCAGCATCAGGGTCTTTTCCAATGAGTTGGCTCTTCGCATCAGTTGGTCAAAGGATTGGAGTTTCAGCTTCAGCTTCAGTCCTTTCAATGAATACTCAGGACTGATTTCCTTTAGGATGGACTGGTTGGATCTCCTTGCAGTCCAAGGGACTCTCAAGAGTCTTCTCCAACACCACAGCTTAAAAGCATCAAATCTTGGGCGCTCAGCTTTCTTTATAGTCCAACTCTCACATCCATACATGACCACTGGAAAAACCACAGCTTTGACCAGACGGACCTTTGTCAGGTAATGCCTCTGATTTTTAATATGCTGTCTCGGTTGCTCAGAGCTTTTCTTCCAAGGAGCGAGCGTCTTAATTTCATGGCCGCAGTCACCACCTGCAGTGATTTTGGAGCCCAAGAAAATAGTCTGTCAGCATTTCCATTGTTTCCCTATCTTTTTGCCATGAAGTGATGGGACCAGATATCATGATCTTAGGTTTTTGAATGTTGAGTTTTAAGCCCGCTTTTTCACTCTCCTCTTTCACTGTCATCACGTGGTCCTTACTAGGTTTCTATTGTGTACATAGTACGGTGCATATATCAATCCCAATCCAAAAAATGTATCACCATCTCCTAATCTCTGCTGACCGTAAGTTTGTTTCCTATACCTGTGACTCTACTTCTGTTGTGCAACGAAGTTCATTTGTAGCACTTTTTAGCTTCCACATAAAACTGATACCACATGACATTTGTCTTTCTCTGTCTGACTTACTTTACTTTGTAGGGCAAAGTCTAGGTCCATCCATGTAACATTTCATTATTTTTCCTGGCTGCGTAGTACTCCACTGTACACATGTACTACATCTTATTTATAGAACTGAAAGAATACACACACACACACACACACAGCATCTTCGCATAAAAGGCTTGGTCAAATGTGCAGCCCTGTAATCTCTCCAGAGGGAGGAGACAGCCCTGGCCTCTGAGCCCCATCCTATCTTTTGCCAGTTGTGCTTGAAGCCTTGAAAGTCAAAGTCGCTCAGTCGTATCTGACTCTTCAGAGTCCATGGGATTCTCCAGGCCAGAATACTGGAGTGGGCAGCCTTTCCCTTCTCCAGGAGATCTTCCCAACCCAGGGGTCGCACCCAGGTCTCGCGCACTGCAGGTGGATTCTTTACCAACTGAGCGCCTTGGGGGTGCTCTTGGAGGGTGCTCCCCTCCTCTGACCTGCAAGCAGACAGAACAAACCCCGGCATCAGGAAGACAGAATCCAGGTGTTGGTGCTGATAGGGGGAACCTGGGAAGGTCCTGTCCAGCCAGGCGTGCCCTGAAGCCACCGGGACCCAAACTATCCCCTTCTGCTCTGCCCTGGGGCATCCATGTTCACTTGCACGCCCCATAGCCTGCCTTTCCGATCCTCACACAAGCCCCAGGAGTCCTGGGAAGTACAGGGCAATTTAGAATTGGAGGTGGTGGTGATGGCAGGGTGGGGCGGTGCTTTCCCCTGTCCACATTCCTCTAGCCACCGCCCCATCTCCTTCCCTCGCACCATCACAGTGACAGTGGAGAGGAGGAGGAACAGACCAAGGGGCCACGAGCCAGCTCCAGGGCCACGTCAGTGCTGCAGGGCTGAGCCTTTCGAGCCGGGGGCCTGGCACAGATGGAGTGGGTAAGTGAGTGTTTGCCGCTCAGTCGTGCCCGACACTCTGCGACCCCTTGGGCTGCAGCCCAGCAGGTTCCTCTGTCCACGGGATTCTCCCCGCAAAAATACTGGAGCGTGTTGCTATTTCCAAGAATGAATAAATGAATGAGTGAGTAAATGGATGAACGAACAGATGAATAAATAAGTGTAGGAATGAATGAATAAGTGAACAAATAAAGTGAATGAGTGAACTAATGAATGGAGTGCATAAATGAGTGAATAAATGAGTGCATAAATGAGTGAATGAATGGATGAATAAATAAGTGTAGGAATGAATGAATGCATGAGTGAATGAATAAATTCCGGAGTGAATGAGTGAATGAATGAATGAATGAATGAATGCATGAGTGTGAATAAATTCCTGAGTGAGTGAATAAATGAATGAGTGAATGAATAAATGAATAAGTGAACAGATGAATAAATAAATGCCGGAATGAGTGACTGAATGAATGAGTGAATGAATAAATTCCTGACTGAGTAAATAAATTTCTGACTGAGTGAATAACTGAATGAATGAGTGAATAAATGAATGAGTGAACAGATGAACAAGTAAGTGCAGGAATAAATGAGTGAGTGAATGAATAAATGAGTGAATAAATGAATGAGTGAATGGATGAATAAATAAGTGCAGGAATGAATGAATGAGAATAAATGAATGAGTGAACAGATGAATAAATAAGTGCAGGAATAAATGAGTAAGTGAATGAATGAATCAGTGAATGAGTGAATGAATAAGTGAACGAGTGATGAACGCGGCAGCCCAGGGCAGGCGTTTGCTTGCAACAGGGGGAAAGCCCAGCTCCGCACACACCCTCCTGGCTGGGAAGAGCCCCGTGTTGGGTGAGGGGGCGGTTAGGGACCCGGGTGCAGGCCCACCCAGGACCCCCCGCTGAGCGGCTGGTGCCCAGGCCTGCAAGGCTGCGTTTTCGGCCCAGTGGGCCAGCCTGCGGGTGCCCTGATCCCGGACAGAAGGGCGACCCTTCGTCCCTTCCCTCCTCCGCTCCCGGGGCCCCTCCCTCCCCCCCACCAGCCCCGCCCGCGGTCCCGGTCCTCCCCCGCCTCTGCGCCCCTCCCGCGCGGCCAGCGCCTGAGGGGAGGGGGCCCCGCCCAGGTGGGCTCCTGGCTGGTGTCGAGCGGGCGCTCAGGCCTCTAGCCCGGGGCTTCGCCGCAGGCCAGGAGGCTGAGCTGCGCTGGAGAGGCGTGCTACCCACGGGCAGTCACTCTCCGCTCCCGTCCGGGGGCCGCTACCCTCCTCCTCCCTCTGACCCGGCCTGTGCCTCTGCTACGCAATTAGCAGGGCCCCCTCCAAATCTGCGACCCTGCCGCTCGAGGCTTGTCCCTTCCCCGCCGGCCTCCAGCCCGCTCCACCCACCCCCACGATGGCCGGCAGGTTCCCCAGCCCCGCTGGGAGTGCAGGGGCCGGGAGAGCCCGGGACACCCCACAGGAAACGCTGGGCGCTCAGCACAGGCTTCTCATTAATGCGTTGTGGGGGGCGCCTGCACAGGCCACACTCCTCCACGGAGGGCAGCCCTGGGGCTGGGAGAAGCCGGTCCAAGTTCTGTCCAGGGTCGGTCGTGTCCGACTCTGCAACCACACGGACTGTAGCCCGCCAGACTCCTCTGTCCATGGGATTCTCCAGGCCAGAACGCTGCAGTGGGTAGCCTTTCTCTCCTCCGGGGGATCTTCCCGACCCAGGGATGGAACCCAGGCCTCCCACACTGCGGGCAGATTCTTTACCGACTGAGGCACCAGGGAAGCCCGACAGCACTGGAGTGGGTAGCCTGTCCCTTCTCCAGGGGAGCCTTCCCACCCAGGAATCCAAGCGGGGTCTCCTGCATTGCAGGCGGGATTCTTTACCAACTGAGCCGCCAGGGGAACCCCGGGGCTGGGGTGACCAAAGATGGGAGAGCAAATCCAGCAGTCAGACCACTGGGACGCACATGTGTGTGTGGGGGGGCAAGCTAGGTGACACCATTGGTTCTAGCACTTGAGTGTACGGAGGACGGAGGAGACCCTGGGGATGAGGGGGATGCACTGTGTGAGCATCACTGGTTCTAACACTGCACTCTGAGGGGTGTTGGCAGGTGGCCTTGTGGATGCACCGGGAGGGGGGGGGACTCCTATGATGAGCACCCCTGGGGCCCACACCGTCTTGGGGGGAGGGACCCCAGCGCCCTGGCTGTCTGGCCAGGGGAGCTGTCTTTAGGGACTGGGCAGTCAGCAGGGAACGGTGGCCTGGTTCCCAGGGGATGGAGGCAGGATGTCTAGTTCCAAGGTGGGCTCGGGAGGCAGAGGACAGGTAGGTCGCTGCTTCTGCACAAATTGGCCACTTAATTAGTTCCTGCCTTCTAGAGGGTGCTTAGCCGCTGCCCAGCGCTCTGCTGACTCTCTGCGACCCCATGGACTGTAGGCCGCCAGGCTCCTCTGTCCGTGGGATTCTCCAGGCAAGAACGCTGGAGTGGGTTGCCATGCCCCGCTCCAGGGGGTCTTCCCGCTGGGGAAGGGACTGAACCCAGGTCTCCAGCACTGCAGGCGGATTCTCCACCGTCTGAGCCACCAGGGTGACCTGGATCATTTTTCACACAGGGTCATCTGTGAGCGGATGGCCGCTGGGGAGAAGTCCGCTGGGAGGGCACGGGCCCCCGGGGTTCGGGCGGCAGCAGGACCAGTCTGAGCTTTCCTCCGGGGCGGGTGTGACTCGCACTTCGTTGATCCCCTTTGCAAACTCCGGGGAGCCCTCCAAGGCCTTTTCTGCGGGCACTGGAGGGGCCGATGGGTGCCTCACGTTCGCGGGCACCTTGGGGACGCCGCCGGCCGCGGAGCCGGGCTCCGGACAGGCAGGGCCCGCTGGGACATCGCCCGCGGCGCGCTCCGCCTGCGCCCCGGGAAGGGCCGGACCGGCCGTCCCCTCCTCGCCCTGCGGTTGCGAGACTTTTTTTTTTTTTTTCCTTCTCCTTCCAGCCTTCCGGCCGAAGCCGAGTTCTCTGGGACGGGGGTCCTTCTGCATTTTGAGGATGGAGAGAAAAGGACGGGCTTTCCTGAGCCGGTGTGTGGAGCGAGATGTTTGCAAAGCCCTCGGCGACCTGTGCGTAACGCCGGAGAAGCCAGCCCGGGTGAGGGCGCGCCGGCAGGAAGGAGGTAGGGCTTGCGTGGCCCGCGCCGAGGCCCTGGGCCACAACAGAGCGAAAACCGAACTCCACCACCCCGCCCGGAGGTGGCTTCTTGCAACATTAATTACCGCAGAAACGCCTGCCTGGGATCGCGTAATGTATTCATCGCGATGGAGAGGCGCTCATTGTTTGTGTAGCGGTGGTCTCCTGGAAGGGGAAAAAAAAAAAAAAAAAGGCCCTCTTTAGATGCCCTCCCCAGTACACTGCTTTGCTCCCCGAAAAAATAATGTTTTTCTTCAATAAAACGTAGAGGACCGGGCCTGTGATTAAATCTGAAAGGAAAGAGTTTTAATGTCCACCATATGTTTGCAAAGTACATGGCGAGGAAAAGAGAGAATTCCACTGAAAAGCAAACAGCATTTCCTCCTACAAAATGTTGTTAAAATTGCTTTTTTTTTTTTTTTTTGCAGAGAGAGTTATTTTAAAACACTTCCTGGCCCCAAGGTGGGATTTATAGCAAACGTGAGATGGAAAAAATATATATGCATATATATACATTTTGGGGTGTGTGTCTTTGGCAGCTCAGAGGCAGCCCACACTCCAAATGGGAGCTGGAAACCCACCCTGCTCCCTCTTGGCCTTTATTAATATTATAGATGTCGAATTTGTCGACAGGATCAATCTTATCCATTCACGAGCTGGATTAACAGAGCCCCGTTGTAGTGAAAATCTATTAGCCTCCGGTTTGAAACACGGATGTTTGCGTCAATCAATAAACAGCCTACTGGAGAAGACAAAAGCAGGTTTCTAAATTTGAAAGAGGTGGGGGGAGGAAGGAGATCCAACTAAGAAAAGTGTGAAGACCTCTGTAAAATCAAGCCACTCTGATCGATACTTATAAATAGTTAATGTGTGGGGAGGAGTCGATTGTTGTTAAAAAAAGGAAAAAAGAAAAAAAGCCCTCACTCTTGGGTGAAAACCATCAACACCTCCACTTTGATAGAAATTGTCTTTTGAATTAGGGGTTGAGAAAGTGGGCCAAACGGAAGGGGCATTCCTTGAAAATTCCTGTTTCCGTGGGCAGCAAAGATGACCCTGGGGGTGGCCGGTGGGTCTGAAAGTTGCTGGGCTTTGGGGAGACAGAAGTGAGTGGGTGACTCCCACCAACCCTCCACGGGGGGCGTGGAAGCCCTACCCCCCCACCAGACGGCGGCCTCTTCTACTTCGCTTTTAAGAAGCTCAGAAATTTCATTTCAAGTCAATCGGTTGGGGTCACAGGAGCTTCGTGTCCCTGGGCTGAACGTGAACACTTGGAGCCCTGCCCTGGAAGCCTCAGATAAACCAAATATGAAATGTCTGAATATTCATCACCTTCCCCCGCCCCGCTGGCCTCCCAAATACAGGGAAACAGGCAGCTGTAGTTCATTAAGATCTACCTAACTCACATCGGGGAAAGTCAGATTATTCCCCAAGATCGAACGTGGCCAGGGTCCAGCTCCCGCAGTCCGCAGTCTGTGCCCGGGTCCACAGTGGTTGTAGGGATGTTGGGGGGGGGTGGTCAGCTGTGTCCACGGACTCTTTCCCTAGATATCCTGGGGGCTCGGGGCTGGGTGCAGGAGCCCGGACGATCACGTTGAAGTTCAGAGGAATGTAGGGAAGCGCCACTGAGAAGTCATTTCTTTTCTGTGGGTGACGGGAGCACCGAGAGTGGGCAGAACCGCCACCCCGTCCCCCCGCCCCGCCCGCACCTTGCCTGCCCTGCTCCAAGGGTCCAGGACGCACACGGGGGGCTGAATCTAGCAGTTTCTGCCCCTGGGGACCAGGGTGTCTGAGCTTTCTAGCTCAGCCTGGGTTCGGAGAGGAAGCCTGGGCGGGCGGGCTGACTGAGGTAATTCGGGGTGAGTGATGCGGCACAGCGTTCTAGCTCTGCACCAGCCGGTGTGGCCTCGGCCTGCGTTGGGGGGTCCTCAGGAATTCAGGGAATCTGATCTGAAAGGACAGGGCCCATGTGTGACGGTTCAGGTTGGGGGCGAGGAGGGTCCCTCCCAGCCAGGACCCCCTGCTAGCTCCTGCCAGCTGTGGGGGGGACCCCCTGGCAGGCTGGATGTGAACCGTTCTCGGGATGTTCACTTCCCCCAGCCTGCCAAGCTGGGGCCTGGGTCTGTGGGCACGCCTAGACCAACACAGGCCTGGGGACGCCTCCAAGCTGCAGAAAGATCCTTGGCCCTCCTGCCTTCAGTCAGAGACCCTGCCCTCCACCGCAGCACAAAGCATCCCTGCAATTATTATTTCATTCGATTGCATCTGTGTCTGCGCCTCTTCCCAGGTGGACCGAGGGCAGGGGTCGGACTCCCGGGACCCATATTAGTACATAGTGTTCACCGGGGGGTTTCTGAGCAGTGGGTCTCGGATCCACACCCCTGGAGAGCCCCGGGGTGTGTTCCCAGCTTCTGGTGAAATCCACGTTGGAACTTCCGTCTTCTCCCAGAAACCAGATCCCCGGTCTCTCACTCCCCAGCCCAGCCCAGCCCAGCCCAGCCCAGCCCAGCCCAGCCCAGCCCAGCCCAGCCCACGGCGTCTTTTTCATTTTTTTTAAGACAGCAGCTATGCTTTCGTTTCTATCCACAAACTTTTCTGAAGCCGCTTTCAAAGCTGGCAGAATGCGAGGACACATGAAACCATCCACAGCTTCCCAAGACAAGTTGAGAGTTTTAAAAAGGTCTCTCTTTTTGGGCCCCTTCTTCTCTGGGGGAAGGTGCGGGGGTTGGCGGAGAGTCTGCAGAAACTGGAAACAAGAGCCCCTTATGCCCGGGAGGGTCTGAGCTCCCGGCAAACTGCCCCCCCCAGCCCCCCCCCAACCTTGCCCCGGCGGAAATGTAAATGTAACATTTCATAAACCATACCCACCCTGCGGCCTTGGGCACCGACTTGAATTAGCAAAAGTATGTGTTCGAAAAAGTCCCTGCCCAGGCTGAAATATGAAAAATAACTCTGAGGGTGGGTTTGGCCGCCTCTGGTTGAAAGGTGACAAGGTTAAGGAGCTGTGTGTATGTGTGTGCACACGTGTGTGTGCGCGCGCGCACATGCATGCCCCTAGCTAGGGACAGACGGGGAGGGGTTCATGGGACATCTGGCTCCTCACTCCCGAAAAGTGAGAGCAGACAGGCTTTGCTCATCAGGAGAAACTGATTTTGTGAAAATCTTATCATAGGCACGGCCTTGGGAGTGACGGAAGAAGCTGGTTGGATGGCTTCCTTCCTCCCAGGATGGGTTATTATTTCGGAACCAAGTGTCTAATGGGAATCGAACATGGGAATCAAAATTGGGAAGGGGGTGACTTTAATTCTCTCTTGGGCTTGAGGTTTTTGGATACCCAGCTGGAGGAGACCCTTGGGAGCCGCCTGACCCTAACTCCCAGCGTGTTCCCTCTAGGGTGGGGTTCAAGGCCCCAGGGATGGGGGGGTGGCCGGCTTGGGGGCCTGCAACTTCTCACCCCCTGTTCCCTGCAGTTGAAACTCAGGCCCTGTAAGACCCAGCTACCACGTGCCCCCCAGGGGAGGCTGGTTCCCCAGGTTGGCCTGGAGGGTCAGGGAGGAAGGAGGGGGCGCAGGCTGCAGGCCGGCAGTCCCTGGGGATCTGGCCTCCTCACCTGAGGCCTGGAAGAGCTACCTTCCCTCCAAGGACTCCAGAAAGTGGCTCAAGCTTAGGGCCCCGTCCGCTTTCATTCCCTTCCGCTCCTGTCAGTCCACTGTTCCTTGCAAACACCGCGTTCCCTGGTGGGCAGGCCGGGCCCCCTGACCGCGTAGACCTGGAAGACACGCGCAGTGGACCGGTGACCGCGGGGGCAGGCTCGGGGCGCGCGGCGCGCCAGTGGCCAGGACTGGGAGCTCCTGGGGCCGCCCCGCACCCCCACCCCGCGCGCCCCCTCCAGCTTCGGCCGCGGCCCTCGGCGTCTCCCCCAACCCAGCGCAGACCCGCGAGGCGGCTGCATGTTTAATACATGACGGGCTATTTGTACTTCTGTGTGATAGGCGCGCGCCTCCGCTTTGATTAGAACAGCGGCGGTGACAAAGCCCTGTTTGTCAAGCTGCGAGCGCCTCTTTGCCTTTTCGCTTTTGAAGTCCGCGGGGGAGCAGGCCACGGGCCCCCGCTCCCGCCCCGACTCCCCCAAAGTCCTCCCCACCCCTCCAGCTCCGTCGGCCGCACGCGGGGCCGAGCTGACCAGGGGCCGCGCGCACGAGAGCCGGGCTCAGCGATCCTGCAGTGTGGACGGAGGGCGCAGAGGACCGGACGGAAACCCGGGGGAGAGACGGAGGGGGCGAGGGAGGGCGGCGGGGAGGCAGGACCGCGGTAGGACGGGATGAAGGAATCTCTGCTGTGTCTGCATCCCGTCCCCCTCTTCCCCTCCTTCCTGGCGTCCCACCCCCCAGATCGAGGTGCTCCCCGTGCGAACGCGACCTTGGCCCTAGGGCTTCACTTTCTTTCCCACGGAAGGAAACGCTGGACGCCCAGGGCGCCCCGGATCCTGGGTTCTGGCTCACCGGCGCTTCGCAGGATGAGGAACTGACTCCAGAAAAAAAACTGACTCCAAAACCCGTAACACTCCCCCACTCTGCCTTCCACCCCCCGTAACTCCTCGTCCCAACTCCCTGGCGGAGGGAAGGGCAGGTGGAAGGGGCCACGAGGAGAGATGACAGAAAGCAAAAATAAAAGCGGGGAGGGGGCAGGAAAGTCACTTTATTTGCAGACGGAATTTTGCAGAGTGCATAGCTTGTGTAGCTGCCGGGGTTGCCAAGTGCATTTCGGATTGCAGTTGAGGAAAAGTGGATCTTTTTAAAGCACGTTATAGCGTTCCGAGAGAGGTAGGGTCTGGTCAGAAGAACCACGGCACAAGCAAAAAAAAAAAAAGAAAAAATACAGGGATGTCTCCCCCCGCCCCCAATAAATCTCTCAGACACCAGGCTGACAGCACTGCGCGAACAAGAAGGCTGCGTCGGTCCGGCGCCCCCAAGGACCGCTGTGTACGAACCGGTTCTCCCAGCGCGGGAGCCGCCGGCTTCTCCGCGTCTGGACTCGCGCGCCCGGGGCAGCCGAGGGCCGCAGGGTCCGTGACTCCAGCCCCTCCGAGGTCTCTGAGCCGCTCTGCCCAGCCGCCGCCGCGGAGACTCGGGCACCTACGTTCGCCCTTCCTCGCGCTTTCGGGATTCTCCAACTGTTTCCCGGATCAGGCCGCGCGCGCGCGCACACTCGCTCCGGGGGGCGCTCCGGCGGGTCCAGCCACGCCGTGCCCAGCCACGCCGTGCCCAAGCGCATCGCCAAGTTGGGGTGGCTCATCAACGCCGCAGCCCCGGGGTCCCCTCAGTGGCGTCTCCGTGCGGCCACGCCCAGACGCCGCATCCCGCGGGGAACAGATTCGAGGAGCGAGGCTGCGGCGCTCTTCCCGGTGCCGGGCCGCCGAGGACGTCCTCGCCATCCCCAAACTCCTCCTGAGTTTCCTCTCCGCCGGCCATGGAGAGAACGCGGATACCTGTTCGCGGCGCTGCGCGCGCGCGCGCGCTCCCTCTCTCTCTCCACATCCGTCTCTCTCTCTCTCTCTCTCTCCCTTCAAAAACTTGATCTTTACCGCTCCACACCAAGGTGCCACAGACGCCAAACAGTGATGAAATCAAAAGAAAACCAATTGCCGGACTGGAGGTGGGGGAGAGATAGCGCCTCCGCGTGCGCCCGCCGCGGAGCCGCGAGGTGTAATTGCAGCCGACAGAGAGCGTTGGGGGTTGGGCGCAGAGGTAGCCGCGTATAAATAGTGAGATCTCAAATTGAAAGGCATAAATAACAGCAGGAGGGACCTGCCTTCACACGGACGGTCCTCTCCGCGCGCGGGAGGCGTGCGGACCACAGCCCGGCTCCTCGCCAGCCCCGCGGACCCCCGCGGCCCCCCCCCCGTTCCCACCCCCACACCCCCAGGCAGCCATGGAAGAACTCACGGCTTTTGTATCCAAATCTTTTGACCAGAAAAGCAAGGACGGCAGCGGCGGCGGCGGCGGCGGCAAGAAAGAGTCCATCACGTACAGGGAAGTTTTGGAGAGCGGACTGGCGCGCTCGCGGGAGCTGGGGGTCTCGGAGTCCAACCTCCAGGACATAACGGAGGCCGGCGGCCCCTGCCCGCTGCATCTCTTTAAGGACCACGTGGACACCGACAAGGACAAACTCAAAGAGTTCGGTTCGGGGAGGGCGGCGGAAGGTAAGCCGGGCCGGACGCAGGCTCCGGGCCCCTCCCGGGCACGGCGCTTCCCGTGGCCACCGAGCCCGGCCGCCCGGCGTCTCGCTCGGCGCCGCGGTGGGCCCTCCGTTTCGCCCCCAAAACGCTGAACATTGACAGCCACGGCTCGAACGCAGAAGGGCCCCGGCCGCCACCCGTCGCCAGGCTTTTTCGTAAGAAAGAAACCGGCCGGAGAACCGAGGAGGCAGGGGCGGATGGAGGCGCTGGATCCGAGGGCGGGCGGCGGCGCTGGATCCGAGGGCGGGCGGCGGCGCTGGATCCGAGGGCGGGCGGCGGCGCTGGGCCCGCGCGCATCGCTTCCCCGCGGGGGGTGGGGGGCGTTGGCACCGGTTGCCTGCGGCAGGCCCTTTCCCCGGATGGAGAGCGAGCCGGGTGTTTGGGCGAGGGTAAGGCCGGCGGCTGCGCGCCCGTGTGCCCGCCGGGCTGTGTGTGTGCCCCGGGACGAGCCCCGGAGCTCTTTCCAGGCGCCCTTCGCCTGCCCGCTTCCCCCGCTAGAAATGGGTCGCGTGGGGGAAAGCGCCGGCCGGCAGGCGTCGGCCCCCTCCCTCGCCTCTCCGCCCCGGGCCCTCTTCGGGAGAACTTCCCCTTGGTGTTGGCTGCCGCGGGGCCCGTGAAATTAAGACCAGCCCTGTGTCCGCAGCGGTCAGGGTCTGCGCGGGGCAGGAGGGCCCGGGGAGGCTCGGGAACCCCTTGCACGCGCGGGCGCGGCGGCCCAGACCCCAGCCGGCAGGGCGCAGCGGGCCCTCCCGCAGGACCCCCATCCTGCGGCTTTTGCTGAAATCTCCGAAGCGTTTTGGCGCTGTCGTCGGCTGCAGAGGCGGCTGGGAGGGGAGGCTTGTTTACAAGGGTTCTCTCCGCGGGGCCGAGACGGTCCCCACCGGGGCCGGATTTCCCTGCAAACAGGGCAGCCGGCAGCTATAAATCAGAGGAATAAAACTGGCTGGATTTCTCAGCGGGGAGCGTTTGAAAGCGCCCTAAGGTCTATATTTCTCATGACAAAGCGAGGAGAAACAGAAGCTTGCCATATGGGGCGTGGGTCCCCGTGTCTTCCTCTTGCAGTGTTGAGAGGGGTTGGCATTAGCGACCCCTGGAAGGCCGTGGGCCCCACACCTCGCTGGGGGAGTCCCGGCAGGAGGGCTTCAAGGCTGGCGTTTGGAAACCTTGACCTTCGCAGAGGCAGAAGGCTGGCGGAGGCTTAGTTAGGATAAGCCCTGGACCCCTGAGAGTCCCCCAGCCTGGGTTCGGGATCATCTTACCTCTGGGGCTCACCCTCTGGCGAGGCCTCGCGCACCTGGCCATGTAATTCCCACAAAGACGGTGTGCTTTGATGGAGACGTGACTGTCTGCCGGCCCGAGCCCCGGTCAAGGCCTACTTTTAATTTACAGCGCCTGGCGCCTGACCTCCTGGGCCCCTTCAAGGCTTCCCCCATCCTCCTTAAAGGCTGAATTCCCCCCCCTGCCGACCTCCTCTCACCCCTGGACAGTCAGGACAGCAGAACCCTGGCAGTCGGCACCTGGAGAGAGGGCAGAGCACAACCGAGGCCTTTTTATTTTCTGTTTTAAATAGACAGGAAGAGAAAGGGCTGTAAAAAGTAGAAGCGAGAAACATCGCAGTGGCTCCTCTCTTGTCTGGCTCTGCAGACCACCCCCTGACCCCCCAGAAGGGCCGAGCCCCCCGGCCGAACTGGCTGAATGGAGAGGTGGGAGACACTGGGGTCTGGAGAGACAACGGAGATGCTGAGCGCCCGGATCGCGTGTAACCGCTGGGCCTGTGGTTTCTGCAGACCCTGCCCTGCAGAAGGCTGCCTCTGCAGGGCTGCCTTTCAAGGCCAGCCTCTCATTCTAGGGTCAAGTCCCTGGGGTTCAGGCTTAAGACACCTGCATGACGAAGTCAAGGTGGGGCTGCCTCTGGGAAAAGGGTTTTTTTCCCCCGGTGGTGGAGGAGTAGGGCATCCTTGGCAAGGCATCCGTCTCAGGAGGTGAGAGGGCCTTGGGTGCCCAGGAGCCTTGAGGAGAGACGTTTCAGGACCTCAGTGCTAGTGAGTATCTTCGGAACCCCCGCTGGGGGACAGGCTGGCTTCACTGATTTTTCCCCTGGCCCCAGGGAGAATTTGAGTCTTTCCCCCTTTGCAAGTTTGCAGGCTCACGGCTTCTGCAGCGCGCTTGTGGACTCTTTTCAGAAGTCGTGGGAGCCCAGACTCTTTGGAGAGACTTTACGGGAGGCCACTGTCTTCTCCTTGGCCCAGAGGGGACATCTAATGAGGGCGTTGGGAGACCTTTCTGCCTGTACCCCCGTAGCCCCTATGATCAGAGGAAAAAGCACACAGGCTGCTAAAATGTTGTTGTTCACTCTTTACAACCCCATGGACTGCAGCACGCCAGGCCTCCCTGTCCTTCACCATCTCCCGGAGCTTACTCAAACATATCCATCGAGTCGGTGATGCCATCCGACCATCTCATCCTCTGTCGTCCCCTTCTCCTCCTGCCTTCAGTCTTTCCCAGCATCAGGGGCTTTTGGCTTCCACCAACTCCGAGACTGGGGAACCGACTTTTATTTTCAATCCCTGAGTTTGGTGTGGGCCTGCATTTCCTGGACGTGGAAAGGAGAGGTGTCTGGGTTAGGGTCTGGTTGATCCTGACCTTACTGCCCCCTCCCCCAACAAATACAGATGCTCCTGTAATTTTTGGACCGAAGAGAGTTTGCACTCCTGGTGTCCTGCTGGGGCGTGAGAATGCGTCCGAGAGATCGAGGGGCAAAACAGGAAGTCGAAACTGTGCTCTTGGGGGCACCCCTAGACGCCTTCCTGCGTCCCTTAAGATACGGCTTTGCCTTCTTGGGAGGGCTTCCCTGGTGGCTGACGTGAAAGAATCCACCTTCACTGCTGGAGACCTCGGTGTGATCCCTGGGTCGGGAAGATCCCCTGGAGGAGGGCCTGGCAACCCACTCCAGTGTTCCTGCCTGGAGAATCCCATGGACAGAGGAGCCTGGTGGGCTACAGTCCACGGGCTCGCAGAGTCAGACACGACTGAGCGACTAACACTTCTCTTTTCTTCTTTGCTTGCTTGATCGGAGGGAGTCGACGTCTGCCGATCGCCCCACTCTGTGGCGACCTGAAGGAGGCTCTGGCCCGGCTGGAGCTGCCCCTGCCCTGCTGGGGTCGGTGGGGGACAAGGGCTCTCCCGGGCCTGGAGCCCCAGCCAGGCTGGGCTCTCCCTGAGCTGCTTGCGGGAGCCGCCGCCAGGGGCCCCGTACTTGAGCGACTCTGCTTATGTGTGTTTTAACTTGATAATATTTAACACCCCATTCCCTTTCCAAAAAAAGAGAGGAAGGGGGTGTGTGTGTTAGGTTCTGTCAGTATGTCAACAGAGGCGAAGTGGATAATTGAGGAAACTATTCGGAGATCAGGCCAGAATACACCAGCCAGGCCGGGGTTCGGAGTCAGTTACTAAAGAGCGCGTCTCGCCTGCGAGTTTGCTGTATCTGCTCCACGCAGCTTTGCGTCAGGGCGCGTTGTCCGCCGAGGCCCTGCGCCCCGTGGGCCCACCCAGCGTTCGGCCACGTCGAGCCGAAGCTTCCCGGCGCGCGGCCTGTTCGCGGCGCGCGGGGCCGGTGTTCCCAGCGCGCGGGACCGGCGGGAGCCGGAGGAGGGTCTCTGCGGGGGACCCGGGGGTCTCGGGCTGGGGATCTCGGGCCGGGGCGCGCGGGGGGCCTCAGCGCTGTGCCCTCGGCCCGCTCGTAGGTCTCTACGACTGCAAGGACAAGCGCGACGACGTGAAGTCGGAGGACGAGGACGGGCAGACGAAGCTGAAGCAGCGGCGCAGCCGCACCAACTTCACGCTGGAGCAGCTCAACGAGCTGGAGCGGCTCTTCGACGAGACGCACTACCCCGACGCCTTCATGCGCGAGGAGCTCAGCCAGCGCCTCGGGCTCTCCGAGGCGCGCGTGCAGGTGAGACCCCGGCCCCCGGAGCGCGCCCTCTCGGCCCGGGGCTGCCGGCGCCTCTCCAGGAGCGCGCGGGACCCCGGGGTGGGGTGGGCGTCCGGAGGCTTCCCCGAGGCCTCGCGCGCGCCCGGCCCGGCAGCCTCGCCCTCCGCCTCTCGGTGACTGAGGCTCCCGCCCGCGCGGGGCCGGATTAGCCGGGGCGCCGGGCGGGGACCGGGGAGGGGGCGCGCAGGGGCGGCGACGCGGGCGCTTGGAATTGGTGCTGTCCCCATCTGGCGAGCCAGCGGCTGCTGGGGGCGGGGGGGTGCTCCTGCGCACGTGCGCGGGGGAGGGGGCGCTCCCGGATCGTTTCGCTGTTTGTTTCTGTTTTTTTTTTTTTTTTTTTTTTAACCTCGGGGTTGCAAACGCGGAAGTGAAGCGGACGACTTTGTTGACGGGGGAGGGTGGTAGAGACCCCCGGGCAGACAGCCCCCTCTGCAGGCGCTGCCGAAGGTCGGGCCTGCCCGTCGTGCTGGGCTTTTCCGGCGGCGCTGACGGTCCCGGGCAGGACACCAGAGCCCGAGAGGAGGAAAAGAGGGTCACGGTCCCTGGGCTCCGGGGACTGGTTATTTAAATAAATGGAGTTAATGCAGCCAACGGGGGGAGGGGGCCGAGTACAGCCGGGGCTTTGAAAGAACGGCTTTCTTGTTGCTGTAGGATCAACGTCTTTAAACACGACTGGGCTGAGATTGTACGCATGAAACGAAAACACGGAAGGGTTTTAGAGACTGTGTTTTACAAAAGCTCTCATTTGGGGAGCGGGGGGGGGGGCGGGGGAGGAGGAAGGTGTTTGCATCCTATCTCCATCCCTTTTCCTCTCTGCCGCCGCGGTAACTGGGATTGCTTAGGCGGAGATGCCGCAGCCCCCCCAGCGTGTCCAGGTTTCTCCGTGTCCTGACGCGGTGATGCTGCCCGCATCCCTGGGACCGCGGGCGGGCTGGCTGGGGGACTGCGTCCTCGAGCCAATTTGTCCCGGCGTCTGTGGCCGAGGCAAGGAGGGGCGCGCGGCGGTAAGGGGGGGGACTCCTGGCCACCTTTCTCCGTCAAGATGGATGGGGCTGCCCTATATAAATTAATGAAAAGATTAAACTTTTGCTGAAGGGGACATCAACTTTTATGTCATTTCACAGCCTTTCTGCCCGGGATCTGTAATATCTCCCAGGCCTTGATGTACTGTTTCTATAAAAATAAATTACTTGTAATTTAATTCCACACTATTTCTTTCAGTAGTCTATTACTGAATAGCACCTTCGCAGGAGAGACCGAGTTGGCAGAAAATTGCTTCTTGGGTGGCTACAGATCTTGAGAAAAGCCCGAAAAAAAAAGAAAAAAAAAAAAAGGTTGGGGGGGGCAGGAGGTGGGAAAATGGGAAAAGTGAGGCGCGCAGGCCTATTGATCCGGAGTTGGATTAAAATTTAACGATTGTAAATAGTAATAAAAACAAACATGGGAATAGAAGAAAAGAAATAATTTCCACTTGGCCACGGGGAAAAGCATCGTGTAATAAAGAGAAGGCAGAAAGTGGTCATAAAAACCAATTAGTTAAAACTCGGAACCTGCTGTGCCAAGCCAAGGGGGAAGGTGGACTCAAAGAGGAAGAGCCGAAAATGCACTATATTTTAATCCTGAGTCTGAACTGTTGGGTAATCCTTTTCCGTACAGGCTGTCCTCTGTTGTTAGAAGATAGTGTTTCAATTTAGAGTGGAAATTTGCTGTAAATAAATTGAAGACCCTTTGGAAGCTGGTCCTTATTAACCTTTTATTTTTAGTGTTGTACTGGAAAACTCATATCACCCAGCTGTCAGGGTTATAATCGAAAGTTATGAGACCACGGTGAGGCGCGGGCGGTAATTTAATTACGACAAATATCTTTGGGTTTATGGCGCAGAGCTAAATTAAATGTCATTATTCACTGTCTGTAATGGAAATCAAAAGGAAATCAGATTACAGCATTTGTGAGAGAAATCAGCCAGTGATCCTTAATGAAGAAATAACTGTCTAAACCACTGTTGTGTGCTTTACTTAGCATATTCAGGACTAATTGGAATTGATCGTGAATCACCCCAAGACTGATTTATTACCGCCGAACGCAGTGGCTAATTCATCACTTTTATTCTCCAGTAATCTTATTTTTTTTCTTCTTCTTCTTTCCCCGTGCTGAAGGGAAAGTGAGTTTTCTTTCTTAGGTTTAAATAGGATTCTGTTTTGGGGAAAAAATGCCCTTGGTGGTGGGGGGGGAGTGGTTCAGAATTCTCGAGTCTGGCTCCGAATTTTCACATCCTTTCCTGAAGATGGCCGGGTTCCGGACCTCAAGGAGACGGCAGTGTCCAGGAAGGGTCGGAAACAGAGAGAGGTCCACTCCCAAGCTGAGTGCAAGGCGGTGGAGATTCGGGGCGGTTCGCAGGTGGGGAAGGAATGGGAGTGCAGGCTTTGGAAATGCAATCTGGATTTGGGAATCTCCATGTCTGGAGAGGGCGCACATTTTTGGAAAATTCTTTTTGGAGCAAAGGGGCATCCAAATTTGCCAGGCTCCCTGCAGCGTGGTGGGGTGAGATTTCCCAGGCTTGGGGGGGGGGCAGTCAGTTCTGTTAGGACAGGCTTGTCCTAGAGGATGGAAAACGGGCCCTTAAGAGGCTGCGAGGGAGTTCAGGTGTCCTGCAGTCCAGGCTATTTGCAGCCTCCGTGGGAGCTGAGGTGTTCCTGGGCAGGGTGGGAGACAGGAGTGGCCCCAGGCCCTGGGCTTGGACCCTCGCAGGAAACCCAAGTTCCCCCCAGAGGTGGGGCATGGCCCAGTCATCCCGGGAGATCCTGGAGCACCCCAGAGGACAGGGTGAGGGAGGCTGGAGGGGTCTGGGAGAAAGTCAGGAAGGAAAACAAGTGCTGAGGAACCTAGACGGAGGGAAAGCCCTGGATGCCATCTGCACGGGGCTGTTGGGAGGGAGGGGGCCAGTCAGTGTGGGGGAGGGATGGACAGGGCACAGGGGTGGCGTGGGGCTGGACACCCCAGTCTTGTCAGGCCTGTGATGCTCGCTGGCCTGGAAGGGTCTCAGCACCCTTGCAAGAGATTAGGAGCCCCTCCAGTTAACACTTCTTGCACCTGCAGTCCGGGGCCTGCATTTTGTGGGAGGGGCGTGTGTACACCCAGTCTTTGGGAATCAAGGATGGTCATGACTCTGGGATGTGTAGCTGGGACCCTCCAGGCTTCCAAGGAGGAGGAGGGTGCCTTGGAGGACATGGAAGTTCCTGGACCCCAGAGCTTGATTAGGGAGGAGGCTGGTCAGGAGGAGGTGGAAAGTCGGGGTGGAAGGTCAAGTTGGACCAGTGGGCTGACCGGCTGGAGTGGGGGCTGCCCACACAAAACGACGGAAGTTTCTCCACGGCCACCCGAGGACCCTCTTGGGCTTCCCTGGTGACGTAGATGGTAAAGAACCCGCCTGCCAATGCAGGAGACCCGGGTTCGATGCCTGGGTGGGGGCATGGAAACCCACTCCAGTGTCCTTGCCTGGAGAATCCCGCGGACAGAGGAGCCTGGCGGGCTGCAGTCCACAGGGTCACAGAGTCAGCCAGGACTGAGCGACTCAGTACAGCGGAGGACCCACCTGCCCGCTTTCCGTTCATGGATGCTAACCCTCTAGCCCCACTTAGCTGAGGACACGTGGCAGCCGCAGGTGCCCCGTCGCGCTGGGTCTGGGGAGACGGGGGCAGCGGAGGAAGGCCTTGAGGGGGCCCACAGGCAGCTTTGGGGGTGGGGGCAGGAACCCCAGGCGCCTTGCACAGCCTCCGGCGTCCTCTGGAAAGCAGGCTTTGCCTGCGCTCACGACGGGGGTGCACGTGTGTCCGCTCCGCCCCCAGGTTTGGTTCCAGAACCGGAGAGCCAAATGCCGCAAGCAGGAGAACCAAATGCACAAAGGTGGGTGCGGGGGAGGGGGGCGGGGGCAGGGCGGAGGATGGAGGTGGGGGCGGCGGGGAGGCCGCCGGGCGCGGAGGGCTGACTTCTCTTGTGCTTGCTCGCAGGCGTGATCCTGGGCACGGCCAGCCACTTGGACGCCTGCAGGGTGGCCCCTTACGTGAACATGGGTGCACTGAGGATGCCTTTCCAACAGGTAGGTCGGTTTCGTGTTTACTTCTCCCCCAGGGGCGCCGCCGCCGCCTCTAACCCGCCCCGGGGGAAGAAAGAGGAACCACTTTTTGTGCTGTGAACCCATTGTGCTGCGCCGTGTGCGTGGTTACACGGTCCTGTCCGACCCTTTGCAGTCCTACGGACTGCAGCACGCCAGGCTCCTCTGTCCGTGGGATTTTTCCCAGGCAAGAACACTGGGGAGTGGGTTGCCATGCCCTCCTCCAGTGGATCTTCCCCCGCCAGGAATCGAACCCGGGTCTCCTGCATTTTGCAGGCGGATTCTTTACCACTGACCCACCAGTGAAGCCCTGTAAACCCGTTGGTGCATATTAACACCACGCTATAAAACTCCCGAGAGTTCCCTTTGGGGGACGACAAGGAGAGAAAGCCAGACACAATTGGTTTTCTTTTTTAACGAAAGTCAGAGAGGAGAATAAAAAATGCTACCAACCCCGGAAGCGCCGGGGACGGAGCGGGTGTGTGGCTCCCACTCGTGCGCGAGGACCTTTTCCTGCAGCCAGCCCGGCCTCTCTGCATCTCAGAGTGGGGGGGGGGGGGCGGAGGGGGAAGTGGTCCTTGCTCCCTGCACCTCAGAGTTGGGGGGGCGCGGAGGGGGGAGTTCGCCCTGCTCCTAGCAGCGCAGTTGGTCCTGTGCAAGGAGGGGGGCAGCCGAGAGATCGGAGGACAGAGGCCTTCGGAGTCCAGGTGTCCCACGGGCCGCGCCACCGCCCCTGGCCTGGAGCAGCCTCGGGTGGGTGGCGGGAGCCGCGTGGCCGGATCTGCAGGGGGGGTTGGACTAGAGCAGGCGCCCCCGCTGCTGCGGGAGGGGGCGGGACCCAGCGTGAGGGTGGGGGCGTGCACGCTGGTGGGGGGGGCGTCGGGGGGTGGGGACTCAGCGTGGGGGGCGTGCACCCTGGTGGGGGGTGGCCCAGCGTGGGTGGGGCGTGCACGCTGGGGGGCCGGGCCCAGCGTGGGGGGGTGGGAGTGTGCACTCCGGGGGGCGGGCGTCGGGGTTCCTCTGGCCCTGGGAGCAAGCAGGACACGCCTGGGGGTTGTCTCTGCGCCCCTGGGTGCTGAGGGGCGCGAGGTCTGTGGGTCTGACCTGGCTGCAGGGTCGTCTAGGCGTGACAGCGTGGGAGGCCGTCTCGCTAAGGAGGGTCGTCCAGGGGTGACACTGGGGGGGCCGTCTTCCCATGGAGGGTCATCTTGGGGTAACACGGCAGGGGGTCGTCCAGGGGTGACGGGGGGGGGGCATCTAGGCGTGAGAACATGGAGGACCTTCTCACTATAGAGGGTCGTCCAGGGGTGACACCGTGGTTTCGGCCGGGAACTCCCGTGGGGCTGAAGGCAGGTAGGGATTCCGGGCTGTGGGCCCGGGAGGGGTCGGCACCCTGATCGCTCAGGCCCCGCCCCCAACCTCCAGGGCGGGGCCCATCGCCCCCCCCAGCTCCAGGCCTGTAACGGCCCCTGGCTATTACAGGGGCAGCTGCCCAGACGTGGGGTCAGCGTTGGGCCTTCTGAAATGAGGTCATGGCAGCTCGAAGTCTTGGTTCTGCTCTTTATGGAAGTGGGTGGCCATCCCCTATTTCAGGGCATCTTCCCGGCCCAGGGAATCTTTGCGACCCAGGGATCGAGCCCGGGTCTCCGGTATTGCAGGCACATTCTTTAGCATCCCAGCCACCAGGGAAGCCCGTATAAGTTGGAACTTTGCTTGGCATTTTTTACAAAATGCCGTGGCTCAGACGGTAAACATTCCTTTGGAAGATTCTGATACTGGTCTGTGGGAAGGGGGTGTGTGTTTGGGTGGGGGAGGCCGGAGCTATAGGTGGGACCCTGAGTCCAGGGGCACCTCAGACAATCAGCTAGAGTCGGGTGAGGAGGGGGTGTCAGCTGCGGTGGGCCCGGGGAAACTGTGCACATCTCCCAGCTCCTTAGGGTGGGAAAGCCCCCCCTCCCCAAAACGTCCAGTGACTCCCATCCAGACATCAGGTGTCCAGAGAAGAGTGGGTGGTGGTCCCCTGGTTGGGGGGGGTGTCCCCTGGTCTGGGAGGTGGTCCTCCTGGTGGGAAAGTGCCCCCCTCCAAGAACAGGCAATGACTCCCATCCAGACACAGGGTGTCCACAAGATAGAGGGTGGTGGTCCCCTAGTGGGGGGAAGTGTCCTTGGGGCAGGAAAGCCACCTCCCCAAAAAAGCCAATGACCCCCATCCGGACATCGGGTGTCCAGAGGACAGTGGGTGGTGCTCCCCTGGTCTGGGGGGTAGTCCCCTGGTGGGTGGTCCCTTGGTTAGGGGTCGTCCCCTTGTCTGGGGGGCGTCCTTGGGGCAGGAAAGCACCCCTTAGAACAGGCAATGACCTCCATCCAGACGCTGGGTGTCCACAGGACAGTTGGGTGGTGGTCTCCTGGTGGGTGGTGGTCCCCTGGTGGGTGGTCCCTGGTGGGTGGTCACTTGGTTAGGGGTGGTGCCCTGGTCTGGGGAGGGGTCCTCCGGGCAGGAAAGCGCCCCCCTCCCCAGAACACGCAGTGACCCTTATCCTGACACTGGGAGGTGGTCCCCTGGTCTGGGGGGGTCCTCGGTGCGGGAGAGCCCGCCCCCCACAAGTCTTGACTGCGCGCGGTCTCCCATCCCAGGTCCAGGCGCAGCTGCAGCTGGAAGGCGTGGCGCACGCGCACCCGCACCTCCACCCGCATCTGGCGGCGCACGCTCCCTACCTGATGTTCCCGCCGCCGCCCTTCGGGCTGCCCATTGCCTCGCTGGCGGAGTCGGCCTCGGCCGCCGCCGTCGTGGCCGCCGCGGCGAAGAGCAACAGCAAAAACTCCAGTATCGCCGACCTGCGGCTGAAGGCACGCAAGCACGCGGAGGCCCTGGGGCTCTGACCCGCCGGCCCGCCGGCCCCGCGCGCGCCCTGGGCCCCGCCACCCCGTGCGTCCGTCCGTCCGTCCATCGGTCCGCGGCGTCCTGCACTCGACCCCTCCGCTCCCCGCACCGCCCCCCACTCTCCGCCTCGACGGGCAGCACGGACACCCCGGAGCCGGGGCGCAGCGAGCTCCCCGCCCCGGGAGGGGACGTCGGGGAGCGCAGGGCACCTCCTGGGCCTCGCGGAGACCGTCGCGGGGGCGGGAAGAGCGAGCAGGGGACGGGTGGACCACCCCAACTCGGCCCCTTCCTCGGGCGGTCCGTGCGTCCTGGGACGACCCTCGGCCAAGTGGAGCTGCCCCGCGTCCTCGCCTGCGGCTGCCACTTCCCACCCTGTGCATGCGGCCTCCGCCACGCGCCTTTCCAAGAGCTCACCGTCTAGGAAACAGAAAGATCTGGGGCTGGTCTCTGAAGATGCCAACGTTTGGATGCGCGCGGTTTTCTTCACTGCCACGGACGGAAAAGTTTCCTCGGAGAAGGAGCTACGGGACGCCCACCCCCCGCCCCAACCCCCAGTGGGGATTTCAGTGTGGACTCGGGCATTCGCAAGCAGGGACTCCCTCCTGCGCCGGCCCGCGCAACCCCCCGTCCCCCGACCCTTCGCCTGAAAGGTAGCAATAACGAAGTGCATTTGACACGGCCTGGCCAAGGTGATGCTGGTCACCGGGGACCTCAGGGGGTCACGCTGGGACGGTTCCGGGGAGGGCCGGCGGCCTGACCGCCCCCTCCCCCCGTCGTCCTGCCCGCGTTTGGCCCCGCCCGGCGCGCCAGATTCAGGATTCCTTGGCCGCACAACAGGCGACTTGGTAACTTTCCCCCCAGTGTTTTCAATTCCCCCTCGAATGGACACTCTGGCTGTTATGCAGAATCCAGATGCGGAAAGGACTTGCAATCGGGACAGAGGGGCACGATGGTTTAAGGTATAATAATAACTGGTGAAGCATCCACGCTAGTGACATGCAATGACCTGCAGGAAAGTGCAATATTGTAAATATGATAGATTTAAAAAAAAAAAAAGCTGTCCACTCTTGACCCTGTCAGCTCCGGACTTTGAAGGGCATTACCTCCGCGCCCCCCGCCACCACCTCTGCATGCTGCGGGCCCAGTGCCAGGATGCCCGGGGTGGGAGGGGAGCGCTTCCTGTTGGTGGGAGTGAGCTGGGTGTGGCTTGAGACGAGAACCAGGATGGGGGTGGGGGGTGGGGGCGCCAGGAAGTGAGGGCGGGGGAGGGGCCGAGCTGTTTTCTGGGAAGCCGCCTCCAGGCAGGCAGTTTTAAGAGAGTTTTTTTTGTTTTTTTGTTTTTTTTAAAAGGGGCTTCCTTGGTGGCTCAGTTGGTAAAGAACCTGCCTACCAGTGCAGGAGATCCGGGTTCGGTCCCTGGGTGGGGATGATCCCCTGGAGAAGGGCGTGGCAGCCCACTCCAGTATTCTTGCCTGGAGAATCCCATGGACAGAGAGGAGCCTGGCGGGCTACATACAGTCCATGGGGTCACACAAAGTCCTAGATGACAGTGTGACTTTCACTTTCACTTTTCTAGGGGTAGCCAGGTCTAGCCTTTCTTTTTTTTCCTCCTGTCCATGGATTTCCCCTCTCTGCCGGTTGTGTGAACATCAGACAGCTCTCTGTCTTAGCAGCGGGTCAGGGGTGTGGGGCATAGTCGCTTGATGTATCCAAACCCAAAGTGTTGAGGTTCCCAGGTTGAGTTAGAGGCGATGGGCTTTGCAAGTGCTGTGTGAGATTGGGTTGAGGGGAGCGTGGTGGTGGCCATGCATGGTTGCTGGGCTTGTCTACCTCGAAAATGTGCATTTCTGTCTCTTTTTTTTTTTTTTTTTTGGTCTGTTTGTTTGCCTTAGTCAACCCAGGCGTGCCCAGACAGAACTTGCTACCTAGTTCCCCAAAGCCCAGCTGGCCCACTCTGATTCTAAAACAGCTTAACGGCTTTTTAGTCTTGCCGGCTGTTTTCCCTTACCCCTTCATTTGGGTACATTTCTGTAAGGAAAAAAAAAATTATTTTTTTTTCCCTTCCGTGTAAGGGAATACATTCTACCTTTGCACTGACCTGAAATGTAGATGCATTTACAACATCTGAAACTCTTTTAATCAAAAGGCCCCTTCAACATAGTTTTTTTTTTCTTCTTCTAATTTTGAAATTTCAACAAAGCTCTGAGATGATGAAGAGAGAGACGGGGTAAAAAAAAAATTGTGTATTTTTAAATCACTTGCAAGCTTTGCTCCCAGCATTCATGGCATTATGGAATTTGCCTTGTATGTGCAGCTCTCCGTCTGAAAGGTTGTGAATTTAAAAAAAGTCCTCTCCATGGGATTTTTCCAGCAAGAATACTGGAGTGGGTTGCCATTTCCTTCTCTAGGTGATCAATCCTGACCCAGGGATTGAACCTGGGTCTCCAGCAGGCAGGTGATTTCTTTACCAATTGAGCCACCAAGACAGCCCATATAAGTTGAAACCTGGAGTTACATTGTTTACAAAATGCAGTGGCTTAGACATAAAGAATCTGCCTGCAATGCAGGAAACCCAGCTTCAGTCCCCAGTTGAGAAGGTCCCCTGGAGGAGGGCATGGCAACCCACTCCAGGATTCTTGCCTGGAGAATCCCATGGACAGAGGAGCCTGGCGGGCTACAGTCCACGGGTGACAGAGAGTGGGACATGCCTGAGCGACTGACGCTTTCAAATGAACCTCATCCGTCCTAGAATCGAAGGCAAAGCTTGGAGGTGAAATGAGTTCGTGCAATTAGGCTTTTTTTTGGAAGGTTTACCATCCATCCATTGTAGTTAAACGTTGACTCTCCCTCCACACGTGAGGTCTGGTCTGGCAGAAACGTTTTAAAATAGAGCTGCCTGCTCGGAGGCTGGGACGCCTGCCGGATGAGGCGTCATCTCGTCCTTGCGTCTGGCTTAAATGGGGTGAGCAGGGTGCGCCCCTCTTGGACGGGGCCCCCCGTAACTGAACGGAGCCTGAGCTGTGTGAGGGGGCGGGGTGCTGAGAGAGGAGCCGGCCTGGCCTCTCTCTGGGCAGTAAGAAAGTCTGGGGGTGGAGGCGGATGACAGCTCAGGGCGCCCGGGGTGGACGGCGGCTCCTGGCCTCCTGTGTCTCCCAGAAATCCCAGCTCAGAAGCGAGCTAGGAGCCCCCGTGGCGGTCAGTTCTTCCAGCCCAGGTCTGGTCTCTGCTTTCTGTCTGTCCGCAGTCAGCAGGGCGTGCTGGGGCAGACGGGGGCTCTGGGTGCGTCCTGGTCTCACCGGGACCGTCCTGGTCTGTTCCTGGCGGCCATGAGACAGGACATGTATCGAGCGGGACGTAGCCTGGGTGTCCTTGATGTTTTCTGAGTAGAGACAAGACCCCCTTCTCAAAGTCCTTCATGGCCAGTTCCGCAGCGAGCAGACCCAGTGAGGAATATCGCCTAGAAAGCAAAGTGGACGGGTTTCCTCCGAACAGCACCAGACCGGATGTGGGATTTTTGGTTGTGAAACCCACGTGCAAGCGGGCTTGTGTGTGCAAACGGGCTACCAGATCTCTGCAGTGTCGAGCCCAGGGGCCGTGGGGCTGTGTTCTCCAGAACGGGCCCCAGCCCACGGAACCGGTTTCATTTCCTGAGACCCTGGTCGGAGAAGCCTTCCACGATGGGGACTCCAGGTTTAGCAAAAACCTGTTCTTCCCAGCTGGGTTGTTGCGGTTTCATGTCTTACTTACAGATTTGCTCTCTTTTTTTTTTTTTTCCTTCTGTTGTGAGGCTGGGAAACTTGCAATTTTATCTCAGCGGGGACGGGGTTGCATTGATGGGTCTTAGCATCGGATGTTGGGCTGGCCTCGTGGCTCAGACGGTAAATGATCTGCCTGCAGTGTGGTTCGATCCCTTGGTCGGGAAGGTCCCCTGGAGAAGGACACGGCAACCCACTCCAGTGTTCTCGCCTGGAGAATTTCCATGGACAGAGGAGCCTGGCGGGCTACAGTCCATGGGGCCATGAAGAGTCGGACGTGACAGAACCACTGACACTTTCACTTTCACCGCACATAGTTGAGGTGATGAAGAGTCTGCTTTGGAGAAGTTTTGCTCGCTCGGCAAGAGAAGTGCAGAGATCTCAGCAGTGGCTCGTCTCTAGGGGATCACGGGGGTCATTTTGCAGTCGTGTTTTCCAGGGTGACTTTGTTCCCCGTGGCCGAGGCCGAGTGCAGGCTGGGTGAGGTTGCGGTCCAGGCTGGCTGCAGACAGAAGGAAGCGGCCATGCGTGTGTTTCCAACCTTCGCAGAGTCGCGCATGCGGTGAGGTTAGCGTCCCCCACCTGGGAAGCGGATCTTCAGAGCCTCACACATCCCCGGGGATCCAGGGACCACCCCCCCCCCCCGCCCACCTTGCTCCCATCCGAGCTGGGACCCCTGACCAGCTGCCCCTGATTGCTGGCACTTGCATGCTCGGCCTTGAAGTCTGTTCCCTGTGGGGCCATCTGGATTCTGAAATGGGAAGGAGCTGGTGTCAAAGCTCACGGCCACCCCCCGCCCTGCTGGTAACCCCCCCCAGCCCAGCGTGTGCACCGCTGGGTTTCACTTAACCCTGTTAATGCTCCCCGAATTCAAGGGGGGTACCCCAAGCCCCGAGTCTCAGCGTCGCTTACAGAGAAGCCGACTTCCATGACAAACATACGTTTGAGGCACTTTGCTCTTTTATTTTCTGCCCCCCACCCCCCAGTTTGGGAGGTTGGGTTGGCGGAGGGGTTATCCGTGGACAAGCTCGACATTAAAAAAAGAAAAAAAAAAACTGGTGCCTAATTTATTAAAAATTAGCTTAGGAATACGCTGACTTTTCAATACACGTGAACACGATGCAATTTATAAATGTTTTATTGAAATTTGATATTTAACGAGAAACCGGTTGAGGAATGTAGAAAAAAAATGTTCAAGTTGCAAAGCTATTAAAACGCGCTATTTATTGAGAGGCGATGGTTTCCCCAAGCCAGCCCCGCGGGACGCAGAGCTCCCGTGTCCCAGAGGGGCGCACTGCTTTGGTCCCTGGTAGTAGGTGTATGTGGATGTTATTTATTTCCCCCCCCACCCCCTTTGGTTGAAAGTTCCTAGATATGTGCTATCTTAATTATGTTGAGTGTAAATTTGACGTTGCCTTGCCTTTATTTTTATATATTTTTTAAGCCTATTGCTTCCCCCGCCCCCCGCCCCCACCGTCTCGCCTTTCTTCCCTGAATTTACGAGCAGTGATGGTTATTTAGGACACAGCGCCCAGGTTTGGGTTATGCATACAAGGTGTGTCTGGACCTACGCAGGTTTTCAGGGATCACGCAAATGAAATCACGCAGCACACCCCCAACCCTGCCGCAACCCCGCTATTGTGGGGTGGGAAAAAAAAACACGCCAAAGGTTTTCTTGGCTGTGCTTGCCGGCAACCCAGCCCACCCGCCCCCCCCCCCCACCGCCGACCCCACACACAAAATGCCCTCAAGTTTAGTTCGTCTTACAAAGTGTATTTTGTCAAACCATATAGTATGAATGTACATCTTGTAAAACGGAGATATAAATAAACTTATAAATATTTGTATTCAAGTGTTAAAAAAAATTCACACCTCTCCCCAGAGGAGACTGGTGTGGGTGGGTAAGGGAGGTTGGGGGGCGTTGGTGAATTTCTGAGTCGGAGGTAGCTGAAAGTTTCATTTGCAAGGGGACAGCAGAGAGAGAGAGAGAGAGAGAGTGTGTGTGTGTGTGTGTGGGGTGGCTGTGTGGCTTTCCCTTCGCGATTGCTCCTATAACCCTGACCTCAAGGAAAGGTACATTCCACCCCCTCCTCCACCCTCCAGAAAAGTGGGGAAAGAAGAGAGATAGAGAAAAAAAAAATCCCCACTTGCAATCAAGTCCAGATTGGAGGCTGAGCAGCCAGGGACTTGAGCAAAACCCACCTGCTTTGGTTTCCCGTTTAAAATGATCCTTTTGTGTGATTTCTTGGGGGACTGTGTGCAAGTCCTTTTGGGAAAAAAAAAAAAGGATAAATGGGGGAAAAAACAACACTTAAAAAAAAAAAAAGACCTTTTTTCTTTTTCGGCCTGTGCTTTTTATCTTGTTCCGGAGAGGAAGGTTAACAAGGTGATGTCACTTTCTGTGTCGATAAAAACCACATGTGGGGAGGAAAAGGCAGGCAGACGTGGGGCGGGGGGAACCCTCTGGGGTCCAGGGAGGCTGTGTGAGCTGAAGCTGAGAGGCCGGGCCTGCTCTTTTGGGGGGCCGTGGGGGAGTGGGGGTGACCCTCCCAAGGGAGTATCCATCACCACCAAGGTGTGCCCAGACCAGCCTGGATCCTCTCCTCTTGTTCTTGGCCCTGGAAACCTTCTCAGCCAAGGAAGGAGGTTCTAAAGGACCTTGTTGTTGGATGCTGAGCATCGATTCAATAACTCTGGAGATTTCATTTTCGTTTCTGACGTGGGCGCTGCAAAAGCGGCCCATTCCCAGAGCCCTTTCCCGAAAGCCTGTTTGTGTCCTGGCTGTGGGAGGCAGGGGGCCCGGGTGACTGACCTTGGGTGGCCCCAGGGCGCGGCCTCGGACGGGTTTCTGATGGCCGCGCCAGCATCTGGATCCCAGGCTTCCGGGTGAATCTGTCCGTTTTCGGGGGCACATGCAGCCAGCTTTGCCCAGGCTCTGCCGAGTGGGTTCGGTCACGTCTGACTCTGCGACCCCAGGGACCGCAGCCCACCAGGCTCCTCTGAGCGTGGGATTCTCCAGGCTCGAATAGCGGAGTGGGTTGCCACGCCTTCCTCTAGGAGGACAGGCTAGTCGCCACGAAATGTAATCGGCACCGTTATTCGGCCATTCAGAGAGCCATGTACGTACAGCTGTGCTCAGCAAACACCTTCATGCTCTTTAGCGTTAAGAGCCCAGTCTCTGTGCCCCACAGACTCACTCACTTTGCTGCCAGATGGAAGCTATCTGAGATGGAGCTGACTCGGCCCTCGAGACGTTCCTGGCATAGCTGAGCCTGAAATGTCAGTTTGTCCTTGAGTCGTTCCTGACGTAGCTGAGCCTGAAATGTCAGTTTGTTGGCCGTGAATTTCTTTTTTTGTTCCCTTCTCCCCACTGTGGACTGTGCTGAGCCTGTTCCTTGGATTCAAACTGAGTTTTGTTTTTCTTTTTAAATGATTCTGAGTCGCCCACACGGACACACCCTGCAGAAAGATGGGGCTGGGGGTCTCTGGACGGCGGGACAGCCGCTTCGTACGACCCAGTTCCCAGATCCGAAAATTGAACAGGAAGGCGCGTTTCCCTGTGTTTTCTGTCTCCAGGTTTCCGAGGCTTCTGCTGGGGGGTTGTGGGGGGTGGGGCCTGCCTCTCGTCGCCAGTCATAGGAAGGAAAAACCACGGACTGGCCGGCAGACACACCCTGGTGCTTGCCAAAGCGCTCTCGGAGCAGTTGTTGGAAAAAAATAAAAGTCGTTTTCGATTTCGCCAGCATGTCTCTCTCTTCACACGGAGACAGAACGCAGACAAGAAATGGTAGTTCTCTGCCTCCAAACCCGTGGCCCTTTTCTGATTTTATGGGTTTAAAAAAAAATAAAAATGACTCCATTCTTTTTTGTTGGAACGCTGACTTTCTTTGAATAAAGGCAGATAAAGAGTGCCTTACTTGTTTGCACGACAATATTTTGGAATATTATTTTTTCAATCAACATGATGGATTTTTTTTTTTAGCTGTTGATTGAAATGATGAGGTTTTTCTTCTTAGTGTTATTTGCTTCTGTTGTTTACCTGAAATCACAGAGAATGAGCTTAAAGTTCTCAAAGGGTCTAGTTTCCGTTGGTCCGTGGGTGTGTTGGGATGAATTCACAGTTGTTTCAGCAGAGACGTGGGAGGGCGTGGAGACCCCGTGGGCGTCTGTCATGACGTCGCCTCCTGCACATCTCTTGGCCTCTGTCCTCGGAGACGTGAGTGTTACCCTGTGCCCAGGAGATGCAGAGAAGTCGGGCGGAACCACCTTGCTAGGTTGTCCCAGTTAAAGGAGGCAGGTCACCGACCTAAGCTGTCGATGTCTGCAGAGACACAGTGTTTGCGATATTTAGTAAAAGCGCCCTACCGCAGGAGGGTGTTTTCAGAGTGGGCTGGAGGGGACGGAGGAACTGTGGTCCAGACATGTGGCAGCAGTTGAGACAGCCCTCCCAGAGGCTCTGTCTGAATGGACAGGGAACGCGTGCAAGTGTGCTTCTGACTCAAGTCGAGGGCAGCTGGTCCTGGCTCAACTCTGGGGTCTCCAGGCCCACCACGCGGTCCGCTCTTGCTCTTATTCCATTTCCTTAAGAAATGGGCAGCAGAGCGTGGGCTCTCACAGGGACCCTCTGCGGTGATGGGCAGGTCGCCCTCCATCCTACGGCCTTTGGTGAGGCGACAAGCCGACTGCCTTCCGGAAGGACTGTGAGATTTCCAAACGGGTGACTTGAAATGACGTTTTATCGTCAGAACTATTTACGCAACGTCTAGAGAAGGAAATGGCAGCCCACTCCAGTATTCTTGCCTGGCGAACCCCATGGACAGAGGAACCTGGTGGGCTACCGTCCAGGGGGTCACAAAGAGTTGGACACGACTGAGCGACTAATGCACACCAAAGACAGAATCGGGGTTCCCTGGTGCCTCAGCTGGTAAAGAATCTGCGTGCAGTGCGGGAGACCCAGGTTTAATGCCTGGGTCCTGGGTCCTGGGTCAGGAAGATCCCCTTGAGGAGGGCACAGCAGCCCACTCCAGCATTGCTGCCTGGAGAATCCCATGGACAGATGAGCCTGGGGGGCCTAAGTCCATGGGGTCGC